GGAGGAGCATGTGTCTGTCAGGCTCCTTTGCGGTTCCCACATCCTGTGCTGGGAATTGTGGGAACCGCAGGGAGCATGACAGACACATGCTCCTCCTCCTCCTTCTTCTTCAGCGTTAGTAGGAGGAATGCCGCCGGACCGGCAAGGCTGCCACCCGGTCCGGCGGCTGCAGCATCAAACGGCCGGCCCCCCCTCACAGTGTGCCACCGGGCCGGCCACCCGGTGGCACCTGCAGTCCCCAAATGCCGCCCCCAATCCAGCCCTGCCGCCGGGCCCCCTGAAGGCGGCCCTGGCGGCGGGCCCCCCTCCCGGCCGGGCCCTCGGACCGTGTCCGAAGTGCCCGACCGGTCAGTCCACCCCTGGTTTTCAGTTGCAGTTAAAACAACAGGGGCTTGGCATCCAGACCACTTCATTCAGATGAAGTGGGCTGGGTGCCTGTAGTGTCCCTTTGTGGAGCATTGTGTATAATAACTATCATCAGTTTACTGGCTCCATTCATAACTTCCTTTTATGACATTTGACACCAGAGGGGTGAATTCATAGTTGCAGCAATGTTTGCAGATCAATGCAGTTTAAAGTGAATTTGAGAAGATATATACATTCATCTGACAAGCCTTGTTGTATGTGCAGTGGTGGATGAGAAATAAATTCCTCACACATTTTGTTATGTATAAGGATGGATTCAAAAGCGCATTCCATGTAAACTCTGTTTGTGTGTTTTAGACACAGATTTAGATTTGTTTCAGTCCAAACTGCAATTTGTCTGAACCAGTTGATTTGGGCGAAATGTGCCCAAACCAGAAACCACAAGACCTGCACAACGGCTGAACATGCTCGTTTTGAGTAGTGACTGATTTGTGCCACTAAACTTTGATTTTATCTATTTTTATTTTATTTTAATACATGGGTCCAGGGGTGTACCTAGAGCATTTGGCACCCGGGGCGAATCCTGTGCTTGGCACCCCCTTGTACTCCCCAAAAAAGTCCCGCCCCCAGCGCCAGTTTGGCTCTGCCTCCGATTTTGCTTAGCTCTGCCCCACTTTTCCTCCGTGTAGCCAGTTTATCAGCTGTTTGCTTGTGTGAGCTGTACTGGCCGCACGGCACCCTAACTACCATGGGGCACTGTGTGGCCACAGCTCACACAGCCCCCTCCAGCCAGGGCCGGTGCAAGGATTTTTGCCGCCCTAGGCAAAAGTAAAGTTTGCCGCCCCCCCATGTGACATCACAATGCCCCACCCATATGATTTGCCATGTTATCTAACGCCAGTGCTGCAGTGCCGCCGTGTTTACATTAAAAGGCCTGCAGGTACAGGCTATAGACACCAGAACCACTACATTAAGCTGCAGTGGTTCTGGGGAGTATAGTGTTTCTTTAATGTGAGGAAAATTAGAGATTAGTGCCATGAATAATATACTAGATTGCCTACTTACAAACAGATGAGGATGATGATGGGCTCTAGCTGCAGTCTGGCTCCACTGGTCTGGTGTAGAACAGGCTCTCTGGAGGCGGTTTGTAACTGTGGTCACAAAAATCAATGTTGTGGGAGAACGGGAAGCAGCTCCATTTTTTGGAGGCCCTTTACACAGCTCAAGATCTCGGTCCCAGGGTCCACCTTCATGTTCCACCAATGAGTTTGTTCACAGGGGTTGGAGTGTGTAGGGGATGTCCTGATATGTGTGTAAGGAATGCATTGAGTGTGTGTAATGAATGCATTGTGTGTTTCTGTGTGTGTAAGGGATGCATTGTGTGTAACGGTTGCATTGCTTGTGTATGTGTGTCTGTGTGTGTAATGCAGTGTGTGTAATGCATTGTGTGTTTTTATGTGTGCAAGGGGTGCATTGTGTGTGATGAATGTCAATCTCTCCCCCCCTTCAATTTTCTTCTCTCCTCCCCTCCAATTTCCTTCTCCCCCCTCCCAATTTCTTTCTTTATCCCCCTCCCAATTTCTTTCTTTATCCCCCTCTCCAATTTCCTTCTCCCCCTCCCAATTTCTTTCTTTATCCCCCCCCCAATCTTTATTTATCCCCCCTCAATCTTTATTTATCCCCCCTCCCAATCTTTCTTTATCCCCCCCCTCCAATCTTTGTTTATCCCCCTCCCCAGTTTCCTTATCCCCGATCTTTCTATATCCCCTCCCAGGGGGTGAGGTATCAATTTCCTTATCCCCCCTCCCAATCTTTCTTTATCCCCCCCTTCCTCTGTTGTAGCGTGGCCGAGCTCTGTATGGTCCGCGGGTACAGGGAGCTTTTGTTTCCTGTACCCAGCCGGACTAACAGGAAGTGAACACTCAGTGTGTACTTCCTGTTAGTCCGGCCGGGTACAGGAGACAGATGCTCCCTGTACCCGCGGACCATGATACAGGGCTCGGCCCCTCTCCTCAGGCTGCGCCCGGGCGGGCAAAGCTGCAGCCGCCTGAGGCTCTCTACAGGCACCCCCCACCCTGGTGGCACCCGGGGCGGACCGCCCCCCTCCGCTCCCCCCTCCCCCCTTAGTATGCCACTGCATGGGTGGGAACATTTTCCTACCATCTGGTGCACAGATCAAGTCAGAAGTGAGCAATGGAGTGGAAAAAAAGGAAAATCAGTGTTACTATATTTACATATTAATTATGTAATAAATATGTAATATACAAATATATAAATATAGATTTTTAATTTTACTGCTCCTCCTGTTTTTCCCTCTGTTGCTTACTTTTTCTTACTTGATCTATGCACCAAATGGCAGGAAAATGTTCCTACCAGTGTATTGCAAAATATATACATACATTGTTATTCATTAAAGTGAGAATTCCAAGTGAATTCAAAGTGAATTTTACATTTATGACCAAAGTAACTGAATTTGTAGTATATCTAAGTTTAAAATTGTTATAGTTTGGCATGGCTATTTTGTCCTTAAATTTGAAGTTCATTTTGCATTCACTTTTAATTTTTGCAGTCCGCAAGCTGGCCCATTTTTTTTTTTATGTTTGAATTCTTTATTTTATTGAGGCATGTGATTATGGTGGTACAGAAAAAGAGAGGGAGACTTGCAAGAGTTATACATGTTAGGGTCATCATAACAGATCACAGAGATCTCCTAGGATTAACAACCTAATTTTATGTTATATTAACAAGCTTAAACCTTTGAGTTGTGTATGCTGGTATACTGTAGTATATGTCTTATACTGTAGGCTATACAATCGCGATCAGAACCTGAGCTGGCCCTCTACAGTTAACTACGTTAAGTGTTGTAGTACACATGACTGACTGGCTTAAATATGGCAATGACAACCCGTCTATGCTTTTCTTTTGATCAACATTAATAGTAGGTCCAAAGGCAGCAGATATGTACATTCTGAATTACACTAGTGACTATTGTGTCTTAGCATGCATGTGATATAGCGCTTTAAGTTAGCTTAACCCCTGGGGTCCAGGCATAATCAATGTTGGTTAGAGGCATGGTTCATTATAACTGCGTATTCTTGGTGGCAACAAGCCAATTCGCCATGGGGTATCAAAAGTCAACCGACTCCCTCAGTCGGCAAGAGCTGGGCTCCAGCAGAACTGTCCCAGTGAGCCTCAGCGTCATGGGTCATTCTGTGTCTCGCATCCCGGGCCTGTGTGGCAGCTGGCGCCCCCGCATTGACCAGTGCGATCTCCGCCCGCAATGTAGTGGCACCCCGGTTGGGTAAGGCAGTTCAGCTACTTGGGTCACTCGAGGGTCGGCCCATGGGAGGTCTGTGTTTTTCCCAGGTATTTACCGCCAGGCATTGGTATGATGTAGGTCTTTTCTGCACTGCGGCTGTTGGTAGGGCGTCCAGCTGCAGCTCTCTTTCTCCGGAGGTGGGTTTTATATAGTGTCGGTTTTGCAGTCAGGTTGATGCGGCCAGGCTGTCCTCCCCTAGGAGGCTGCTGAGGTCATGTTTCGTTGTGCTCTGGTTCTCCTCTGTCCGGTTCCCCTGTGGCTTGTGCCAATTTGGTTTGTTCAGTCAGCTTGTACCAGAATTTGTCAAATATAACTCCCAGGGTGTCCGTAGCATGATCCCTAGGGTCTGCTTTATCCAGTTGCGGTATTGTCTGGCCCAGTGCTGCTTTGCCTGGCGTGTCCGCCATCTTGAGCCTCACAGCTTGAGAGGTCTGCCGGGTGTCCAGAGGTGTGCAGGCCAGAGGCAGCTCAGGTCTTTGTGGACTGGGATGACCCCCCGGTCTGCGGGGGGGGATGAGATGTGTCTGCCCCCTCGTCGGCCAGAGAACCGGGAGAGCAGCCGTCTCTCCACGGCTCCCACCCGCACAGGCCGCTCGTCGCACGTGGTCCGCCGGTGCCGGGGGCCATGTATCTGGTATCCCCGGGTTCAGGTTGGTCTTCTGCAGTCGATTAGTGCGGTCAGCAGTCGATGTGTTTGGGTGGTCGGGCGTTGGCCCGGAATCTTGGGTCCAGACTCGGGAGCCCACGCTTTGCACGTCTTGTCTTCTTGACGATCAGGCTCCACCAGTGGCGTACATACCAGGGTCGGAGGGGTCGCGTCTGCGACCGGGCCCGGCCCACCAGTATGTACCCACTGGGCCAAACTCTTCCCCTGGCGGGCCCAGGAGCCGTCCACCCCAGGGCCCCCCGAGGCTGGCCCTGCTGACACCCAGCAAGCGGGTGGCCGGTCAGGCAGGCGGGCGCACGAGGGATCACTCAGTGTTTCCTCTTCAGCTCCCTTGGCGCTAAGGATCCCTCAGCCTCTCAGCTCCGAATGCAACCGCGCATGCATTTAAACCGCCCATAGGAAAGCATTACTCAATGCTTTCCTATGGACGTTCAGTGTGCTCCTCTAGCGGCTGTCAGTGAGACAGCCACAGAGGCTGGATTAACCCTCAGTGAAACATAGCACATCCCCCACCCTCAGGGACCCCCTCCCGCCCGACTCTGGAAAGGGGAAAAGGGGTAAAACTTACCTTTTTCCAGCGCTGGGCGGAGAGCTCTCCTCCCCGTCGGCTGTATGCGCACGCGCGGTAAGAGCTGCGCGCGCATTCAGCCGGTCACATAGGAAAGCATTCATAATGCTTTCCTATGGACGCTGGCGTGCTCTCACTGTGAAAATCACAGTGAGAAGCACGCAACCGCCTCTAGCGGCTGTCAAAGAGACAGCCGCTAGAGGAAATAGGGGAAGGCTTAACCCATTCATAAACATAGCAGTTTCTCGAAACTGCTATGTTTATGAAAAAATGGGTTAACCCTAGCTGGACCTGGCACCCAGACCACTTCATTAAGCAGAAGTGGTCTGGGTGCCTAGAGTGGTCCTTTAAGTGTGTGTGCATCTGCATGCACTGGCGTACATACCGCGGTCGCAGGGGTCGCAGCCCTGTAACCCCTGCGACCAGGTGCCCACCGCCATGTGTTGCGGCCTGGCCCGCGCGCGCGGGGGGGGAGCCACGGATCAATTTTCGCACCGGGGCCCCATGGGTCATGTGTACGCCACTGGGCTCCACCCCCCATCTGGCCCGTTTTTGCACCATTTTGCTTTATCTAATTAATTTCTGTACTGAAATTTTACTGGATTGCTTTACAGTTAAAAACCCAAGTTACTGTGTTTGCCTATGCTATTTGTAAAATACTGATTCCAGGACATAGGACTAAAAAGGATGTTCTATCTATCTATCTACCAGATAGTACTTTAGTGATGAAAATGCATGTTGAACATTGTGAGTGGTATATGTAATAAAAGTCTTGTGTGGAAAAGTGGGTCAGAAAAATTAAATCTCTCGTGAAATTTGCTAAGAATTATAACCGTCTGCTTATCTGTTTATTCTTATTCTGTGTTAGAATCATCAGCAGCAGCCTCAGGTGGAACCAAACTAATGAGCTTATTCTTGTGACTGTAAGTGAAAATCTCACTCTGTGTACATAATTCATGCTTAAATTGGCTACCTGACCAAATCCATATTCCATTTAGAAAGCAGCAAGACGTAGAAATAACCAACAAGCCTCAGGAAATTGCTATGAATACTACTTATTGAATTGTCTGTCTGTGCTTTGTGCATTGGAATACATATATATAGCAATGCGGGGATATATTAACATGGTTATATCATTTTGTATTTATCTAGTTCACACAGATACTGCAACTATTAAACAGCATAGCCACCCTAGAGAAGTATTCAAGTTCAGCTGTATCCTGTCTAATGGTTTATTAATTAAATGGTAAATTATGGCAAACTGGAAACTGAAATGAATTATAAAAGCAGAATTAGACAGGGAAAATATCCAGTTTACAATGTATTCAGGCTATATTACGCCACAGACTGTAGAATATCATATATTATATTTTCCTATTTATATGAATATTATGTAGGTATGTCTAATGGGTAAAGGAACAAATGATAATTTGCCGTGAGAAGTT